AAATTATAACCAAATGATACGTTTGCAAATCGTTCTAAGGGGAATATCTCACAAATATCCCCTACCCACAATCTTTTCTTTTATCTAGTACAGAATCAAAATATGAACAGAGAAAAATTTAAAGCCCACAATTTTAAAACAAAAAAACAATTTCTGTCCCTACTGCCCACATGTCACTCTGAAAACAAGCTCCAGACATTGCTGGAAAAAGAAAAGCCTCAAGTGAACCATATTTAGTTATTTTGTTTCCCATTTATGTGTCTGGAGCAAAACCATTGTTGTCCATATAATAAATTCAATGAATGTCAAAATAACACTTCATAAAATTAGGCACCTCTCTTCTGAGATTTTAAAAACTCAGAAAACCAGGAATGAAAGAATACTTCCTGAAGGAATTTTTAAAATGTAAATAAACAATAGTGGTTTTTCCATGAAATCATTAACAAAACAAAGACGCCCACTTTCAGTGTTTCATTTTAACACTGTTTTGCTGTCTCTGGCCAATAAGACGTGAAGCCGAAATAAAAGCTGTAAAACATAAAAATAAGTTACTTTTGGCCAATGTGATTAAATACTTATACTCAAGAAAATGAATTTTAAAAACTCTCAGAATTGGTAGGAGAATTAAATACAGTACTAAGGTTAGTCACACGCGTGTGAATCACAGCTGCAACATTGCAGAGACAAATAACCTTGAGAGGTTATCCTCTAAGCCTCAGAGTCTACATCTACAAAAAGGGGATAATAATACTAATCTCGCTGGTTTGTCATAAGGATCAAATCAAATTCTGTATTTAAAGCACTTAAACACATGGAACATAGTAAACATTTAATAAATATCAACAATAATTATTTCATTAACGTTACTATTTAGTGGTAGCACACCTAAGGTAAAAATAGATACAAATCAAAAGTTTTACTAAATACTAGCGATAATCAATAAGAAGATATAATGGGAAAAAGATCCTATTCACCATAGCAATGAAAAATCATAAAACACCTGATTTGATAGAACATTTTGGGTGATTTGGAAGCAGAAAAAAAGCCAAAATTACACTTGCGTATACTCCATCACCCTCCCTGCTCCCCTCAGTCTCTATGTATGGCCGCTTTAGCCTTCTGCTTATGGTAGGAGGCTGAAGTGAAAAGCAGACCGGGAAACTTGATGTGGAGTCTCTGCTCCCCTCAAGTCCTATGAACTGGTTTTGAGCTCCTAAAGTAGTAGGACAGGGAGATAAACTGGCAGAACTGCTTTGCTCAAAAGAAGTGGTGAGATTGCAAGAACAAGGACTGCTTACTTGTTACCCTTCACCTTTGAGACACTCAAAATGTTGGCAGGTACTCAGTGCCTCAGAGTTTAAAACATTAATCTGGCCTTATACCTGGAGCTATTAAATAACCTTCTGGCCTCTAAAACTACTCTGCTTAGGGGTCAAAACACTTTCATGAAACAGGCGAAAATGAGACTTGTCTGAAATCCTACAACTGGAGAGAGCCATTAGAAATCAACCTCTGGGGCTGGCGCTGTGGCATAGCAGGTAAAGCCACCACCTGCAGTGCCGGCCTCCCATGTGGGCGCCGGTTCAAGTCCTAGCTGCTCCACTTCCAATTCAGCTATCTGCTATGGCCTGGGAAAGCAGTGGAAGATGGCCCATGTCCTTGGGCCCCTGCACCCACATGGGAGACCCGGAAGAAGCTCCTGGCTCCTGGCTTTGGATCAGCACAGCCCCGGCCATTGCAGCCATCTGGGGAGTGAACAAGTGGATGGAAGACCTCTCTCTGCCTCTGCCTCTCTGTAACTCTGCCTTTCAAATAAATAAATAAATCTTTTTAAAAGAGAGAGAGAGAGAAATCAATCTGCAACAGTAATCCATATCTCCTTTTTGGCTATACTGCAATAATTAATTCACTATGACTCTAGGATTATTATAGAGAGATGCATCAGAGAATAGACCAGAAATGTGTCCAATTATACATTTTTAAATGAATGTATTATAAGGGAAGGAATATACAAAGGTACTTTAAAGGTCATGGAAAAACTGAATTGAAAGATAAGTTTAGGGGCAAGTCTTTGGATCAGTTAAGAGGCTATTTCCCATACTGGAATCAAGTTCTGGCTCCACTTCCAATGCAGCATCCTGCTAATGTGCACCATGGGAAGAATCAGGGTACCTGCCACCCACACAGGAAATCCTGATGGGGTTGGGTTGCAGGCTGTTGCAAGCATTTGGGGAGTGAAGCAATAGATGGAAGACCTCTCTCTGTGCCTCTCTGTCTCTCAAATAAACGGACAATGAAACTTTTTTAAAAGATAAGTTAATTTTGGTCAAGATTTTGAAATCTATGCATATGAAGGGTCTTCAAAAACTCATGGAAAATGTATATTACGAAAAACTGTGCATGGATTTAAATTATTTTTCATCAAAACAAATTTATCAGGACAGGCATTTGACACAGTGTTTAAGATGCCATTTCAGATATCTGCATCCGGTCTCAGAGTGCCTGATTCCAGCCCTAGCTCTCCTTCCTATCCAGCTTCCTGCTGATGTGCATCCTAGGAGGGAGTTGATGATGTCTCAACTATTTGAGTCCCCGCCACTTACATGGGAGATGTAGATGGAGTTCCTGCTCTTGGCTTCAGCCTGACCCAGCCTTGACTGTTGTGGGCATTTGAGGGGTAAGCTAGAGGATGGAGGGGCTCTCTCTGTCTCTCCCTCTCTCCCTGCCTCTTTCTAATCAAATAAAAATAAAGAAAGAAAATTATTTTAAATATATCTTTTAATTTTATTTTCACAAACTTCCTGTAATACCCTCATATTATAAACCAGTAATTAAAAGATCTACTATCAAATAGATGTTGCAGGAAAAATTAGTTAACTACTTGTACATTTTTTGTAGTTTTTAAATTATTCTCAACAATTGAACATTAAAGTTTTCCTATTTCATTCAATATTAAAATCCAAACTTTATGATCTACTAAAATGTTTTAAGTCAAACCATAAAATCATCAAGAAATATGGGCATAATGGTACACATATTAAATATTTTAGAGTCTTCTAAGTTTAAAAGCAGACAGATTTACAAAGAAAAAGATATTTAAGCTTAAAAGGAAAGACATTTTAAATACTTCATGGATGAAAATGTCCTAAACTTGATGAAAAACAGATATCACAGAATCTCAGCAAATCCCTAGCAAGATAAAAAAAAAATGAAACCTCATCAAGGCTAATTAGGGTTAAACTACTATTATTGAATGCTATTTCCCCACCTCCTTCAGGTGCGTGTGTCATTCATTTGTAACACAGTTTTGTCAGAGTTTATATTCTACTTTAATATTACACACACACTTCCTGTTGTTAATTTTTATTCTAAGAGGAAACATTATCATGGTTCTAAGAATCAGAAGTGCAAAAAGACACCCAGATGTAAAAAAAATACAGAGTCTGAGCAAATGTCTCTGGGCTGAACCCTGTCATCTGGTCGCTCTGAAATTCTGTAAGTACTTCTGATGAAGTGAGCCTGGATTGAAATATTAGGTCATTAAGCAGAAAGAGAGCTATTTCACTTCATCACTATTATATTTCCTCTCAAAAACATTTTCGTCAAAGAACACGAAGCACAAACAACTGTTTTCAGATTGCAATCATCTAAAAGCAAGAAAATGGCAACATACCCATTTCCACCCACTCCTCAGGTTTTGGCTATTTTACCTTTCAGAAAGCTTCTACAAATCATTAAATGCTCTAATTAGTTTCATATGTATGTACTCAGCTCATGCCATTAAAAGCACCATTCTTCTACCACTTTGCAGGATGTTTATCGGATTACTTTTAAAAATGCTCCTGAATGCCATAAACATTTGAAGCAAAGAATGGTTGGTCCAAATGAAAGAAAAATGACTTTTTAAGTCTGGTGTCAACCTTGGAGATGACAACAGGCAGATCTTATTTTGCAGTAGAAATACATGCCTTGTGAATAATTCTAATTTTGAAATCATTTTTGATTCACAGCTATATTGCCTGTCTCTGATTCAAAATGTTTAGACAGAGAGACAGAGGTGTGTGTGGGGGGGGGGGGAAGCAGTAGATATAGTGTCTTAGTCCATTTTATGTTGCTATAACAGAATACCACAAACTAGGTAATTTATAATGAACAGAAATCCTATTTGGTTCATGGTTCTGGAAGCAAAAAAGGGGCTACATTTGTTGAAGGCCTTATTGTATCATAACATGGCAGAAGGCATCACATAATGAGGAAGTATGTGCAAGAAAGAGGAATGGGGGCCAAGCTCATCATTTATAAGGACATGATAACAAACCTATTTGCTCGGCAATTGCATTAATCCATAAGGGCAGGGTCCTTATGATGTCATTATCTTCTAATGGTCTCACCTCTCAATGCTGTTGCACTGAAGATTACATTTCTACCACATGAACTTTGGGAGACATATTTGAACCATAGGAGATGATGGATGGATGGATGGATGGACGGATGGATGGGTGGATGGATGGATGGATGGATGGCTGGCTGGCTAGATAGAATGTGGGTGAGTGGATAGGCAGATAGATGATAGAAAGATATACATATTGGGGCCAACTATATTTAATACATCATTTTCACCCAGATCTGCTGCATGAACTAAGATATTTTGATCTCTCAGCACAAAAGTTTTATGGATGAAAACTAAGACTCTCTTTAATAAGCTGCTATTGTATACCAATATGTTGTGATTCAGAGAAGATATTTAACAAATGAATGTTGAATGAAATCTAATTCAAGTTTCTAAAAAGTGAGAAAATTAAATGGTCGATTTAGTCAACATCATGCAGGCAAGAGAAAAGCCAGTTGAACCAATTTCACCAATTTTTGGGTGTCACACAGACAAAAGAGGTGTGCATGTCCTCAATTGCTTAGTGTTCCCCCATTTTCAGAATGCACATCTCTTATTGAGGGTAATTCCATACTTAATGACTATTTTTCAAAAGAAACTTTTTACTTACTTGGATCTTCCTCATGTACACGAGTATAGTTTTCCAACATGAAAGAAAAGAAGTTGGATAGCTAGACAAAATAAAAACACAATAATCAATTAATGAACCCCAAACAGCTACTGTGGCAAATGTCAGTACTCCATGCAAGTCCCCTTACTTTTCTAGGGCACTCATCTCCCACCTACTGCAGGTACTAAGGGTCACACCTATACCTGTCTCTAGAGAACTGCTCTCAGAGGTGTGTGGCATCTCACCCGGAGCTGCCCAGGATACTATATTTACACCCCTTCTGAGGGATTGCCCATGACTGACTGAAGGAAGAACATAATAGCCCTGTCCCCTATCTACCTTGCCCCTGCAGGGGACAAACTGTGACACATTTCACACGAGCACCAGATGAGATCAGGCTGAAGTCAGACTTCCGTAGAAAGCACATTTTTGCCTCACTTCCTCCCACGTCCTGTCTTGGTTTCCTCACTCCCATAGGGATTTTTCCTGAGAATGCTCCCTCAGTAAGTCACTTATACCAGAATCCCTGTCTCAGAATCTGCTTCAAGGAAACCCAGTCTAAGCTACTGAAATTTGTGCATAATGATGTCTTCTTTTCTGATAGTAAGACTAGGAGTTAAGGGATATATTTAGGAAATAAAGAAAGGAAGGAAAGGTGGAAATCCACCAGCATTCCAACAATCATGTAGGTGCTACTTGTATGCCTACCAATTACCTGAAAAGATGTGCATTTATACAGCACAAATCATTTCTTCTCTTCGCCCTTCCTCCCGCAAAGAATGAACACTAAGTGAACACAAGCTGAGAGTGGCTCTAGGAGTTGGCTTCCCATACAAACACCTAAATGCACGATTTTAATGCTGCTGAGGAGTTTCAATTAATGGTCAATAGAAACCTCAGTGAGATATTATGTCACACCTACTAGGATGTCTATAATCAAAAATAATGACAGTAACAACTATTGGCAAGGATTTGGAGAAATAAGAATCCTCATATGTTGCTGGGGTTCAGTGATGCCATTGCTGTGGAAAACACTTTGGCAACCTTCATAAAGTCAAACATGGAGGTATCATGTGACCTAGCAATTCCAGGCTGGGTGTATACCCAAGATAATTGAAAACATATGTTCATACTAACAGTTGCACACAAATGTTTATAGTAGCATTATTTATGATTTTTGGTTGTTTCCAAAAAAGTGGAAACAACCCAAATGGTCCATCAACTGAGGAATGGATATGCAAAATTATATATTTATATATTCTCTATATAAATTGCAGACAAGGGAATATCATTTGAGCATGAAAAGGGAATGAACTACTGATACATGCTATGACACACTTAAACCTATGACATATGTTATGCTAAATGGAAGAAGCCAGACACACAGAGGAATACATATTTTATGATACCAGTGATATGAAATGGTCAGAAGAGGCAAATCCATAGAGGCAGAAAACGAATTAGTTGTTGCCAATTCCAGAGAGTGGATGCTAGTGGGTATAGGGTCTTTGGGGTGCCCATTACTCTACTGTGATGATGGATATACAACTCTGTAAATATACTAAAGACCATTGAATTATACACATTAAATGGGCGAATTGTGTGTTATGTGACTTAGATCTCGATAAATCTGTTTTAAAAACAGTAGAAAAGGCCGGCGCCACGGCTCACTAGACTAATCCTCCGCCTGTGGCACCGGTACTCCAGGTTCTAGTCCCGCTTGGGACACCGGTTCTGTCCTGGTTGCCCCTTTTCCAGTCCAGCTCTCTGCTGTGGCCTGGAAGTGCAGTGGAGGATGGCCCAAGCGCTTGGGCCCTGCACCCGTATGGGAGACCGGGAGGAAGCGCCTGGCTCCTGGCTTCGGATCAGCGCAGCAAGCCGGCCACAGCAGCCATTTTGGGGGGTGAGCCAACGGAAGGAAGACCTTTCTCTCTGTCTCTCTCTCTCACTGTCTAACTCTGCCTGTCAAAAAACAAACAAACAAAAACAGTAGAAAAGAATATACTGATACTGGAATGTTCATGTATAGGCATACCACTTTGGGGCTCGTGCCACCTTTATATTCATCACTGTATTCTACCATGCTTAAAAAGGCAGCCAACACCATGAACGCCTAAAGAAGGCAAAAGGAACATTTGATCGAATCATAGTACAGCATTTTTATAGTTATCAATCCAGTAACTTAACTCTTCTAAAATTTTTGTAATTATTTTTAAATACTATAATGTGATACAAAAATATATGACTGATCAAAACTACAAGCAATACTGAATGAAAAGAAGTTCCTCTTAGCATCCCTACCCACTATCCAATACCACTCCAGACCCTAGAACTAACCACTCTAAAACAACTTGCTGTGTATCTTTTTCCAGACCTTGGCTGTACATGAGATTTTTTTTAATGTATACAGGATGAACTCTACATATTGTTCTACAAGTTGCTTTTCACATTAACAACTATATTACAAATTTCTCCAAGATCTTGTTATTATTTAAAAAGTATTCATTTTTATTAATAAGCATTAAAATTGGATTTACATATGCTTTTCACAAGCTTTAATAAGGCCTTCCTCACTCATATATATTTTCTTCTAGAACTGTTAGTTTTGTTCCCAGGAAATTCTTCCAATTTTTATCCCCTTAAAGTATGTTTCCCTTTATAAAGTAACAACTTTACTTCTGTATACTCAAAAATAGAGTAAGACTATTTTTTATTAGTTACCTAGACATCTGGCAGTTCTCTTAAAAATGTGAACTTCAAAACTGAAAAACACCATCATCTTCCCAAAACACATACTCTCTCAACAGCAAGTTCCAAGAAAATGTCTATTAAAGCCTTTAACCAGGGCTCTTAACTTTAAAATGGACCCAAAATTTCATTCTTTCAATAACAAGGAGTAAATGGAAGCATTTTCCCAGGAGAAAAGACCAGCTTGCAAAACAAACCTGCATTTGGCTTTGCTCATCAGCATATTCAATGGACTGGAAGATGGCGAGGGCATAGTGCTGTCTGGCCTTGAGGCGAGCTCTGTAACCTCGGTACCAGTTCTGGATGATCAATGTGGCTCTCAGCACTGCAGACCACGGCACATGAAAGTCAAACAACAGTTACTATACAGCTGTTGGCGGAAGTAGGTACTTCAGAGAAAAAAAAAACATCAGTCCATCTGTATCCTTCAGTTCTAAGAAGATAAAAACCACAAGCAATGAGAGTGACCTTTAAGTTTTTAATAAGATGTCCTCAAGTCTCAAACACTCAGGGAATGATGATGGCTTCGTTATTAGGAGCAGAGATTTTGGAGTAGGACTGCCTGAATTTGAATGCAGCTCTGCTAATGACTGTCTAGGTGACTCTGGGTGAGTTGTTACAATCCTCAAAGCCTGTTTCCTACTCAGCAAAGTGAAGACAGTAACAGCACTGCCCCGGCACTACTTAGGTGCGCTGCATCTATGTACATATGAAGCAGCGATTCCTTTCTTCTCTATGTACCCCCAAAGCAATTCCCACACAGTCATAAAGGAGACATGTGGAGATGCAATCGCTTCTTTGTGGCAGGAGGGAGTTTGGTAACAATGCAGCCTGGTTGTCTACTGCTAGGAAACAGAATGGGTGCCTATGTGGGATGCAGCCCATGGAGTACTATACCTCAACTGGAAGCAAAAGATTAAATAAATCTATCGCCACATGGACAGGTCTTTAAAAATACAGGGCCTCAGAACAGTTACGAAAAAGTTAGAATGGAAATACAATATTATATCATTTTATGCCAATTAAAGAAAAAAATATATATATATACACACACACACACACACATACACATACACATAGGGGTTTGCGTTGTGGCGCAGCAGGTTAAGATGATATTTGAGATGGCTGCATCTCATAGCAGAGTGCCTGCTTGAGTCCCAGCCACTCTGCTTTCTGCTAAAGTGCCTGGGAGGCAGCAGGTGATTGTTTGCATACTTGAGTCCCTGCTACCCACATAGGAGATCTAGATGACTCCTGACTTTAGCCTGGCCCAGTCCCAGCTGTTGTGGGCATTTGGGGAATGAACCAGTAAATGAAATCAATCACTCATTCTCTCTCTCTCTCTCTCTGTCCCTTGACCAACACTCACTCACTCACTCTCTGTCACTCTTTCAAATTGATAAATAAATCTTTACAAAATATACACATATATACAAAACCGTAATAGACATTTCATAAGAATATGTACAAAGGAAAGGACACACATCATACATAGTTTATTGGTTATTTACAGGGGAGGTGAATGAGCGTGGGGTACACAGAAGGCAATAGACTAATTAATTAAAATACGAAAGGGTCTTATTCAGACTAGGAATGACAATGTACAATGAACTGAGAAGTGTGATTCACTCCAGGTTCTGCACCTGAGATTCAACTGATAAAAGACAGATGGCTAAATAGATTATGAAAAAGAAGAGTTGAGTTTAGTGGATTGAAGAGTTTAGTGCACTATCTGTTGCAAAGCATAAGCTAAATGAATGGCAACTACAAGTAAGTGTCTTGTTTGTGGACTATCCAGGCACACTTTCTCTCCTCTGGGGCCAGTAGCCTTTGAATCACCCTGTAGTTTCACAGGATGGGAAAAGGAGGTCAGGTGAGAGAGAATGAGCTTTAAAATATAGTCTCTTATTCCTCCTCAAGTTTTGAGTGAGGAGCAATCAACACCAGCTGGCTCCCTCTCTTCATGCTATCATTTCTCCCAGTCAGCACATAAAAATTAAGAGTTGACTACAGCAGGAACAAGCTGAGTTCTGAAAGCAGGAATCCAGCCTCCAGTCCCAGAGTTTTTGGTTTAGCACTGCTGTGGTACACTGGGTCTACTCCAGGACCAAGCCATCTAAGAATGTTTATTGATGAGCTTCTCCAAAGCTGTTGGGTTCCAGAGATTCTCATGACATTAATCAGCTTCCGGGAAATTTCTGGAAACAAACCTAAGGTCAAGAATCACAATTGTCCTAGGGAAAAGTACTAGAATGGCTTGTTCAGTATTGCAAAGCAAATAATCGGTAGCACCATAGCAGAAATCACAGTTGTCCTCACAATACCAACATGGAGAGCCAGGTTCACCTGAAAGGCCTGTTCTATGGAACAGTCACTGTCATGATGACCCATGATTGCTCCTCACTCAGCTCAGGGCTCTCAGAGGCACCAAGCCCCCTCGTGCTGGTGCATTGCTGTTTCCAGAGCACTCCCCGAGGGCCAGGCAATCTCTTAGTTCCTGCAATCCTCGCCACACTGTGAAGGTTGGAGAGACTGCGGAACTTACTTCACCTCATTTAGCCAACAAATGGAAATGCATGGCAAGGGTTTGAACCCAGGCCTAACTGACTCTATAGCCCAAGCTCTTATCCTCTACAGATCTATTGACCTTTTTCTGGGCCCCACTTTCTTTATCGGCACAATGATGTATTGGAATAAATGATCCCTAAGTCTCTTCCATTTAGCATTAGCAACATAAAAAATAAATAACTCAGCTTATTATTGTTTCTATAATTAATAACAGAACAAAATAGCTACCATATGCTAAGCATCTAATACAATACATTCAGTCCCCACAAGTAGTATCATCTCTGTGTTACACATAAGGAAATTATGAGAAGCAAGTACCTTGCTCAGGCACTTATCCAGAATAGACTCAGCTTGAGTCCACAGCCTTAACTCTCCTCACCACAGCCAGTTACCTCAGTCCCTAACTTATCTGTACCTTTCCTTCCCTTGAAAAATAACAGCCACCATTACTGAATGCCTACTATGTGCCCAGCACCGGGGAGACACTTTACATATACTACCACTTCTACTCCTCCTCTCTCCCATCTCTGCTCATCACATCCCTTGCTCTCCAAGAGACTGTTCCCTTGGGAAGGCACACAATGCATTCATTGGGTTCTCTCCTACTAGTGGGTGTGGATAGTGTGTCTTGGAAAGTAGATAGTCATGCTCGGTTCCCTCTGCCTTGCACTTCCTCTCCATCTCCAAAGTCAGGAAGCTGAAGGGCCCCTCATGCCAGTCCCCACCCCCACTTGGTAATCAGCCATCTCTATGCTTGCACTTGGTATCAGGGCATGAATGCTTCTTATGAGCATGAAGCTGTTGTAGCCCAACTCCAATCCCACCCTTCTTCAGTTGGCTCAGCAGTGCTGAGTCTGGGATTCTCAGACCCCATTTAACCTTTGCCAGTTGCTCATCGTTAGGCTCTGCCCGTAGGGGCAATAGCAACTGGAAGACGGTCGGGGGCACACTCCTTCCTGTCTGCTTCCTGTTCCTGTTTGTGTAACCTAGCAACTGTTCTTCACCCACTGCAGCAGCAGTTGGGTCCAGTGTGCAATTTTTCCAGCACTTGCAAAACCAGCCTCATGGCAACCCCTGAGACATCAGCCCCGAGCCGAGCGGCATTCCTGCTCAAAGGTCTGGGTTTCAGTTCTGTGGAACTCTCCAAGTTTCTAGGTTGCAATAATTCCAGTCTTTTCCCATTGTGTTCTCTACCCTAGCAGGGTGGTAACTTTGCTATAGTTGCTATCTCTGTATAACTTAGAGTTCCCTTTCAGTTACCTAGGAGCCATTGCATACCTACTTGACAATTCTTTACCTTGAGTTCTCTCTGTGCATATCACTGTGTGGTTTCTGCTTCCTGGCTAGACCCTGCCTGATGATCTAGTCTCAGGAGGATGGGAAAAATAGGTTCTCTTTAGACCTCAACTTCCTGGGTACTCAAATTCAGGCCCTTTCTAGAGTGCTACATTTGGCTTTTGGGTCCTTGTGGAGTGCTTGATGGAGTGGACTTGGTGCCACATCCTGCCTTTGTCTCTCAGATAGACAGGGCCCTCAGAAACCTCGGGAGGAAAGGGAAGGATACTGGCATGGCAGGATTGAGCATACCAGCATCGGACCTCTAAAACCTCACTTGATGCCCAAGAGCCCACCTGCTCACCACAGAGCACCGGGAGCCAGCTGAGGACCCTCCTCCAGAGCAGAAGCCTCCCCCTGCCTGGAGATTTAAAGATCTGTCTGGTCCAGTTCTGAACTTGTTGGACAGGTTAGATTGCTTCTGATCTTGCTGCTTCATTGCAACACAGGGCTTGTCTTCCTGTCATATTCATTCCATACAGAAAAAAGAAAATAAATAAAAGCTATTGCCTTACGAGTCCCAAAGGGAGCAACAGCACATGTTTAATAAGTTACCTGGCCAGTTTTCTGTGCCCAGTACAGGTGGTTCCACGATTGCCAAGATGTTTGTTTGTTTGTTTGGTTTTTAATAGGTTATTTTCTCTGGCGGTGATCATCATCATATTTTGCAAGTAAATATCCATGTAGGGGGTTAGTGAACAAGACAAATAATAAATTCAGAACATCTGCTTCACGTCAACCACTGTACGGTGTGCTGATTTAATCCTCTCAACAATCCTATGAAGCAGTACTATTCTTATTTTACAGATAAGGAAATGGGGGCTCAGAAATCACTTGTTTGGGGTCATATTGCTTGTCAGTGGCAGAATGTAGAGTTCAAATCCATATCTCTGTAATTCCAGAACCTGGGTTCATTACCACTGTGCTGTACAATACAGTGGGACATTTGGAATCAGCAATAAAAAAATGAGCCAGTATGCAGAATAGCACCTCCCACCCACACCTTCCCCCCACCCCCACAACGTACATATACTCATTCCCTATCCTCTTTATCTGTTTTACTGCTACCCATAGCACTTTTCACCAACTGACTTCTAGAAAGTCACACATTCGCGTTTATCGTCTAGCTCCCCCTATTACATAAGCTATGTGAGAACAGCAACTGTCTTCCATTCCCCAGCTACATCCTCAGCAGCCACATGGGTGGCAGGGACCCAGGCACTTGAGGCATCGGGGGCACATTAGCAGGAAGCTGGATTGGAAGCCGAGCAGCCAGGACTGAAACCAGGTACTCCAATTTGGGATACTGGTATCTCACGTGGTGGCCTAACCTGCTGTACTACCTGCCCGCCCCAGTTTTGTTTATTAAGTGGTAGTTGATATTTTTTAAAGAAGTTTCATAGTCTGAATGCTAAGACATTT